AGCAGGTGGCTCACACTGAAGAGAAGGCATGAGCATTTAGTGTAGGCACGGTAAAAACAGTATGACTTGTGGGGGGCAATTAGGATTCATTCGCGCTGTGGATACAAGGAATCTGTCTGAAGTGCGCTGGCCTGGGGGACAGCTAGTTGGTGCTGGCTGTGGTCAAATGGTACTGTTGACAGAATCACATCTGAATGCACACAAAAGATCTTTAAAACACTTCAGAAACATGAGTGCCTTTCAAGGGGGTGACGTGAGGCGGGGGTGAACGGGGGGAAGCTTGCCAGAGGCAACCGGAGGCCCTGGGCGAGGAGACGGTCCCCCCCGCCACCACCCGCCCAGCGTCAGGACAGCGCCTGAGGACAGGGCCGTCCCTGCCTCGACATGTCCCCCGTTTAAGGCACAATCCAACTTAAAAAAGAAAAACACACACACACACATAAATACTGTATCGGGAAGATCACAAACTGTTAGCATCTACTGGCTGAGTAATGATTTCACAAGCAGCAAACTGAATGCACATCTTTGTGCAGAAAATCATCATTTCTATGTCCCCGTCAAGGAAATGCATTGCAGACCCGAGCTGGGCCCGAGCACAGCAGTCGAGCTCGGGCTGCACCCGCTCTGGATGTGTTGACCGTCAACCGCCCATATCTTGGTTAGGAACTGGGTTTGGCCGTTGGCAGACAACATGTTGACTCCTGGAAATTTGTGATCATTTCTGTAAACGAGCAAGAGAGATCTCTAACATGAGGGTGGGCCAGCAAGCAGTCAGGTGCAGGAGGTCAGCAGGGAGCCCCCCGCCGTGGGCTGCACCCCGGTGTCCTGGGGAATGATGCCTGAAGGCGAGCCACCACCAACTAGCCTCGGCTCTTCTGTGGAACAGGAGACCCTCTGCCACGTGGACACTTGCAGAAAAGTGATACTCGTATTTGTGCAGGAGCACCTCACGCTTGGAAACGTGTCTGTTAACTAGTCCTCGTTCTAACAGAACTCCAATTAGAAGCATACAGATTCCAATTTGTCTTAATCAGATAACACGACAATGCCTATATTCTAATTAAAAAATAATTTCTTTTATTGCTCTTAACAATGTGATGTGTTTCTCCTGGTGAAGTTATACATGTGAAACTGCTCAGTTCACCATTTACCAGCAGTTTCTCAGGTAGGACGATTTGCCAGGACTATTTTAATTATTATTAAACAAGCAAATGATACACTATTAGACAAATATTAAAACAAGCATTGCGCTCAGTTATTAATTTGCACTATTCACTTTTAAATGCAGCAAATATCTCATTAATTTAATTTTAGGTGCCCACCCGTTTATATTGCATTTTACAGCCTAAAAGGCAATTTACTATTAACTGGCAATTACATACTGAGTGATTGTTAATTCTGCTCCTAAGTGCTAGCCGCTTGAAAATTGTTCTCTCTCTCTAATTTTTGACCTTCTTACAACAGGGGTGAGGCACACTGGGAATACGAAGGACTAGTATGGAAGAGCCGGACATGTCATTTGTGACTCATTCTTTTAATTCACCGTGCTAATCAACTGAACCGCCGCTGCCTCCCTAGGTAATTGTGCTTTTATAGTAGTTGGTGAAAGCAGCGGGCGGAAGGGTCTGGAGGGATCGGCTTGGCCGGCCTCCCCTTCCCAGGGCTTCCCAGGGTGGGGGCAGCAGAGAGCGCCCACACCCACTCTGGGTTGACTAATCGGGTCTGGTTCTGAAAAATCTGGTGTTTCTCAGATGGCTGTAAACAGATCATTTAGGCCTTTGCCTCTGGCGGGCGGGGCCCCTTCTCTGTGCACAGGTCCATTATCCCCGGGCCTGGGCCGGCCGGGAAGGCTCCCTGCGAGGGCGTCCCGGCAGCCTCGGGGACTGATGGGAGCCAGATGCCCAGGGGACAGCGCCCTCCCTGAAGGGGCTGCCTGCCCGGGTCCTGACGTCCAGAAGGGCTGGCTCAGTTTTCAGTGGGGACAGTGCAATTGCCCGTGATTGCTTCACTGTCCCCATCAATTTCAGGGCAAAGCAAATCAGACAGAAGCTTCCAGGTCAGACAGGTTATGACCCCACCTTTCCTCTGCTCCCTGAGAGTGTACGGGCCCCGTATCCCTTACACAGCGTTTGAAATGTATATTCCCGTTAATGATTGGGGTGTGGGGGGAGGCAATAAATTAGCCTCCCGCTAGGAAAGACTGAGCTCACTGAATGGCTTCATTGAAAGGCCCATTCGTGGGAGAACTCTTGACAGAAGAAATCCCCAAAGCCTTGGGCAGCAGGGACCCCGGACCAGTGTCCCTGGAAGCCCAGTCTTAGGGTGCAGGCGACGTCCACGGCAGAAATGGAAGCCAGGTTCGGGCCAGCGGGCAGCAGTTGGTGCTCACCAAGGGACCGCCCTCACCCTGAGCAGGGAGGAGGGGAGCACCCCAGGAGCCAGAGAGGAGGACGGCGTCCTGCACAGAGAGCCGCCCGGACACCAGCCAGCCCCGACCCCGGCAATGCCAGGCCCTGCACTCATGACACCCGCCGGCCAGTGACAGACGTCCTGCCCTCACTCACTTTTGGTCTCTCCCACGCTTGATACAAAGCTCAGCCCGGCCCCTCCTGCCGTCTGCAGGCAGGGCAGGGAAGGTTCTGCCATCTCGTTCTTCTTGCAATGGCCACTGACCGCCCCCCACCCCAAAAAGCCCACAGCTGCAAAGGTCTGATCTGGGACGGGAGCCCCTGAAGGCACCGGCTGAAGAACCTAACCAAGACGGGCAGACTAAGTGGGAGAAGCCCACCGTCCCCCCGCTTCTGGGCAGATGCGGCAAGTCCGTCTGGCCACTTTTAGACATGCTTACCGCAGTGCCCTAAACCAACAAGGACACCCCAGTCCTGTGGCAGACATGGGAGCCCACACACCACATGGCTCATGAGCAGATAGTAAATGTCTCCTCTTTGGAGGGACTGGGGACCCTGGTGGTCGTTACCCTGACTGACCACAGAAAGGTACCTCTCGCCATGTTCCCACCTGTGGCAGACAGCACCCCTAAGTTCTCCCTGACCCCCACAAAGCCCAAGGAGGGAGGCCGAGGAGTAAGTGGGACTCAGCGGGGTCAGGAGGCACAGGGCCCAGGTCCTCGGGCCAACACTGGGCAGAGCAGAGCCTGCACAGCGCGAAGCTCACAAGCCAGAGGCCCGCGGAGGTGTCATGCCCCCAGCAGGGAACACAGAGTGGGGTGTGGAGAGTGTGCAGGGGCACGACGATAGCTCCCACAAGACGATGGGCCCACAGCAGGTGCCAGAGGCCCCAACGGGTACAGGACGGGACTCGGGCCGCACCTCCCTGGACCGGCCCCACACTGCATTGGCCGTACGGCGCTTGCTTGTTGGAGACGTATGGGTGCTTCCTAGATGCCCCACGTTTCATGACCCTGTTTTGCAGATGACGCCCTGGGGGCCTCGCAAACTGGAGGAGCCGCCCTTCCCACTCTCTGGGTCTTCCCAGGAAGCCAGGAGCATCCGGACCCCAGGAGTGGGCCCAGGGACGTCCACCCATAGCTTTTCTGCTACACCCACTTCCCCTTGGTTCCTGGGCGGTTCTGGGCTCGGGGAGTGTGTGCTGGTCCCATGGGAGAAAGTGGCCCATAATATGGGCACCTCTCGCCACCTTGGCCACGTGGCAGGGTGCAGTTTCGGGGAGGACAAAGGAGGAAACTGCCCCCGCTGAGGACCCCAGGTATCACCGGCAGGGTGCAGTTTCGGGGAGGACAGAGGAGGAAACTGCCCCCGCTGAGGACCCCAGGTATCACCGGCAGGCAGGCTGCCGAGGGTCTGGCCTCTGGGGACAATAGTCAGGGCTGTCTGAGAGGACCCAAGTCAGGCACACCCTTGAGCTGATGCTGGGTCTACGGAAGTGGTGTGGAGGAGCTTAAATTTTCCATTTCCTACCCACTCAACGCTTCCTACAAGGGGAAGTGGGTGAGTAACCCCTCCTCCCTCCTCAAACTCCTGAGTGGAAGGGACCTCCACACCCCCCACATCCCCCTGCCTGGTGGACAGAGAGACCCGCATCCCAGGGGGAGGCCAGACCCGCTCCAGGACATCCCGCAGCTGGCGACAGCATGTGGTCAAGCCTGCAGCCCCAGCCCAGGCTCCCAGCACGGCCCCCCCTGCCTGTGGCCGCCCCCCCCCCCCGACAAGCACATCGAGGCCACAATAGGAGAGAACAAGTGCCCATCCCTGTCACCCGCCTGGGGTTTCAGCAGGTGCCGTCCATCGGTACAAACGCTTCTCGGGTCCTAGAGCTTTTGCAGTTGGCTAGGACTGAAACCGGAACACTTCGAGTCTATCGATGGCGTTTCTCAACAGCCACCTCGGCCCAAGAGTGTTCAGTCAGCATCTATGTGAGCGGGGCTTCGTAGAGGAGCACTCTGAGATAACAAACGTGCCATTTCAGAGGGGACCCCTTCTAGTGACCAATTCAGAGACCCTCGCAGAAAACGGGTCCTCTTTTAGAAATAGCACGGGGCCTAGAGCAGACCGACTCCTGGCTTCCACCAGCGGCCCATTGATTACGGCGCGTGTGGCCTTGGGCACGTGACCCGTGCTTCATCCCAGTCCCAACGTGTGCAAATGGATGGCAGCATCACGGGCAGCCACGCGGCGACGCACGGGCACGCAGGACACGCGGCCCACGGACCGGGCACACGGGCAGCTGCCCAGGGGAGGCCGGAGCTGACTGGCTACTGATGGGCCCCCCACCTTGCTTCACAGTCCCGAAGGCAGAGGGCCTCAGGTTCGGGGAGGGGCCCAAGAGCTCATGGCCTGTGGGGGCTGCATCTGTCCACAGCACTGCCGACTCAGACGAGGATGCAGAAACCATGCACCCCACTGACCCAACCCTCGGGCCAAGGGGGCTTGGCCTGCCCTCACGGGGGGCCCGCCTGTGCAGGTTGTCATGGGGAGGAGGCATCCCCCACTTGGCCACCGAAGTCGGAAACGTGAACTCACCAGTGTAGACAAACCGCCCAGGAGCACCTTTACAGAACTGCTTGGATTTGTAGGACAGGGTGACTTCAACAACTCCAGGAATGTGCCGCGGCGGGGTCTGCACCCGGATGGCATGGGGAGTGATGAGCTA